AATAAGACTATATAGTGAAGCTTAGAATGAAAATTGTATAGCGAGATTTGTTGCAATGATGAAGGTTGTGAGTATGAGACTTGTCACAATGAACATGATTGTGAGTCTGAGACTTGTCACAATGAACATGATTGTGAGTGAGACTTGTCACAATGAACATGATTGTGAGTCTGAGACTTGTCACAGTGAAGATAATTGGGTTTAGTGAGATCTGTCAAAATGAAAGAGACTGTATGTATGAGACTTGTGGCAATGAAGATTATGTAGTGAGAATTTGTCACAATGAAGATAGTGAGACATGCATAGTGAGACTAGTGACAATAAAGATTGCATAGTGAGACTAGTGACAATGATGATTGCATAGTGAGACTAGTGACAATGAAGATTGCGTAGTGAGACTAGTGATAATGAACTGTGTAGTAAAACGTTTCACAAAGAAGTGTATAGTGAGACTTATCACAATGAAGAAGATTGTGTGTATGATACTTGTTACAATGAAGATTATGCCATTATGTCGTGAGATGGGGGAGGAATTACCATTCCCTGACATGATTCCAACAGGGACAGGGGAGGACTTACTGTAGTATGACATGGGTGTAAAAGCGATGGGGGGGGGTAAGGGGGGGGGGGTTACCAAACCTAGAACAGTAGCTGTGAGTTGTGAGTAACAGACCGATGAATGGCAGCAACACTTGTTACTTATAATATGGTAAATATTCTTCTGTTGTCGCTCTACACAACAGTGCTCCCCAAGAACCTGCTTTATCATGTCCCTCTACACAACTGCTCCCCCAAGCACCTGTTTTATCTTGTCCCTCTACACAACTGCTCCCCCAAGCACCTGCTTTATCTTGTCCCTCTACACAACTGCTCCCCCAAGCACCAGCTTTATCATGTCCCTCTACACAACTGCTCCCCCAAGCACCTGCTTTATCTTGTCCCTCTACACAACTGCTCCCCCAAGCACCTGCTTTATCTTGTCCCTCTACACATCAGTGCTCCCCAAGCACCAGCTTTATCATGTCCCTCTACACAACTGCTCCCCAAGCACCAGCTTTATCATGTCCCTCTACACAACTGCTCCCCCAAGCACCTGCTTTATCTTGTCCCTCTACACAACTGCTCCCCCAAGCACCAGCTTTATCATGTCCCTCTACACAACTGCTCCCCCAAGCACCTGCTTTATCTTGTCCCTCTACACAACTGCTCCCCCAAGCACCTGCTTTATCTTGTCCCTCTACACAACAGTGCTCCCCAAGCACCAGCTTTATCATGTCCCTCTACACAACTGCTCCCCAAGCACCAGCTTTATCATGTCCCTCTACACAACTGCTCCCCAAGCACCAGCTTTATCATGTCCCTCTACACAACTGCTCCCCCAAGCACCTGCTTTATCTTGTCCCTCTACACAACTGCTCCCCCAAGCACCTGCTTTATCTTGTCCCTCTACACAACTGCTCCCCCAAGCACCTGCTTTATCTTGTCCCTCTACACAACTGCTCCCCCAAGCACCAGCTTTATCTAGTCCCTCTACACAACTGCTCCCCCCAAGCACCTGCTTTATCTTTTGTCCCTCTACACAACAGTGCTCCCCAAGCACCTGCTTTATCATAACCCCTCTACACAACTGCTCCCCAAGCACCTGCTTTATCATGTCCCTCTACACAACTGCTCCCCCAAGCACCTGCTTTATCTTGTCCCCTCTACACAACTGCTCCCCCAAGCACCTGCTTTATCTTGTCCCTCTACACAACTGCTCCCCCGAGCACCTGCTTTATCTTGTCCCTCTACACAACTGCTCCCCCAAACACCAGCTTTATCATGTCCCTCTACACAACTGCCCCCCCCCAAGCACCTGCTTAATCTTGTCCCTCTACACAACTGCTCCCCCGAGCACCTGCTTTATCTTGTCCCTCTACACAACTGCTCCCCCAAGCACCAGCTTTATCATGTCCCTCTACACAACTGCTCCCCCAAGCACCTGCTTTATCTTGTCCCTCTACACAACTGCTCCCCCCAAGCACCTGCTTTATCTTGTCCCTCTACACAACTGCTACCCCAAGCACCAGCTTTATCTAGTCCCTCTACACAACTGCTCCCCCAAGCACCTGCTTTATCTTGTCCCTCTACACAACTGCTTCCCCAAGCACCTGCTTGCACAAGCTTCACCTTGTCTTCACACACCTGCTCCACAAGCACCAGCTTTACCTTGTCTTTACAAAACTGCTACACAAGCACCAGCTTTACCTTCTCTTTACACTAAAACTCCAAAAGCACCAGCTTTACCTTGTCTTTACACTCGTTCCACAAGCACCAGCTTTACCTTGTCTTTACAAAACTGCTACACAAGCACCAGCTTTACCTTCTCTTTACACTAAAACTCCAAAAGCACCAGCTTTACCTTGTCTTTATGCTACAGCTCCACAAGCACCAGCTTTACCTTGTCTTTACAGCTCCACAAGCACCAGCTTTACCTTGTCTTTACACTAAAGCTCCACAAGCACCAGCTTTACCTTGTCTTTACACTAAAGCTCCACAAGCACCAGCTTTACCTTGTCTTTACACTAAAACTCCACAAGCACCAGCTTTACATTGTCTTGACAGTTCCACAAGCATCAGCTTTACCTTGTCTTTATAGCTCCACAAGCACCAGTTTACCTTGTCTTTACAGCTCCACAAGCACCAGCTTTAAAGCTAAACAAGCATCAGCTTTACCTTGTCTCTACAGCTCCACAAGCACCAGCTTTACCTTGTCTTTACAGCTCCACAAGCACCAGCTTTACCTTGTCTATAACAGCTCCACAAGCACCAGCTTTACCTTGTCTTTACAGTTCCACAAGCACCAGCTTTACCTTGTCTTTACAGCTCCACAAGCACCAGCTTTACCTTGTCTCTACAGGTCCACAAGCACCAGCTTTACCTTGTCTTTACAGCTCCACAAGCACCAGCTTTACCTTGTCTTTACAGCTCCACAAGCACCAGCTTTACCTTGTCTTTACAGCTCCACAAGCACCAGCTTTACCTTGTCTCTACAGGTCCACAAGCACCAGCTTTACCTTGTCTTTACAGCTCCACAAGCACCAGCTTTACCTTGTCTTTACAGCTCCACAAGCACCAGCTTTACCTTGTCTCTACAGGTCTACAAGCATCAGCTTTACCTTGTCTTTACAGCTCCACAAGCTCCAGCTTTACCTTGTCTTTACAGCTCCACAAGCACCAGCTTAACCTTGTCTTTACAGCTCCACAAGCACCAGCTTTACCTTGTCTCTACAGGTCCACAAGCATTAGCTTTACCTTGTCTTTACAGCTCCACAAGCTCCAGCTTTACCTTGTCTTTACAGCTTCACAAGCACCAGCTTTACCTTGTCTATAACAGCTCCACAAGCTCCAGCTTTACCTAGTCTTTACAGCTCCACAAGCACCAGCTTAACCTTGTCTTTACAGCTCCACAAGCACCAGCTTAACCTTGTCTTTACAGCTACACAAGCACCAGCTTTACCTTGTCTTTACAGCTCCACAAGCACCAGCTTTACCTTGTCTTTACAGCTCCACAAGCACCAGCTTTACCTTGTCTTTACAGCTCCACAAGCTCCAGCTTTACTTAGTCTTTACAGCTCTACAAGCACCAGCTTTACCTTGTCTATAACAGCTCCACAAGCACCAGCTTTACCTTGTCTTTACAGCTCCACAAGCATCAGCTTTACCTTGTCTTTACAGCTCCACAAGCATCAGCTTTACCTTGTCTTTACAGCTCCACAAGCACCAGCTTTACCTTGTCTTTACAGCTACACAAGCACCAGCTTTACCTTGTCTTTACAGCTCCACAAGCATCAGCTTTACCTTGTCTTTACAGCTCCACAAGCACCAGCTTTACCTTGTCTTTACAGCTCCACAAGCTCCAGCTTTACCTAGTCTTTACAGCTCCACAAGCACCAGCTTTACCTTGTCTATAACAGCTCCACAAGCACCAGCTTTACCTTGTCTCTACAGCTCCACAAGCATCAGCTTTACCTTGTCTATAACAGCTCCACAAGCACCAGCTTAACCTTGTCTTTACAGCTCCACAAGCACCAGCTTTACCTTGTCTTTACAGCTCCACAAGCACCAGCTTAACCATGTCTTTACAGCTCCACAAGCACCAGCTTTACCTTGTCTATAACAGCTCCACAAGCACCAGCTTTACCTTGTCTTTACAGCTCCACAAGCACCAGCTGTACCTTGTCTTTACAGCTCCACAAGCACCAGCTTTATCTAGTCTACAGCTCCACAAGCACCAGCTTTACCTTGTCTCTACAGCTCCACAAGCATCAGCTTTACCTTGTCTTTACAGCTCCACAAGCTCCAGCTTTACCTTGTCTTTACAGCTCCACAAGCACCAGCTTAACCTTGTCTTTACAGCTCCACAAGCACCAGCTTAACCTTGTCTTTACAGCTCCACAAGCACCAGCTTTACCTTGTCTTTACAGCTCCACAAGCACCAGCTGTACCTTGTCTTTACAGCTCCACAAGCACCAGCTTCACCTTGTCTCTACAGCTCCACAAGCATCAGCTTTACCTTGTCTTTACACTACAGCTCCACAAGCACGTGCTTTACCTTGTCTTTACAGCTCCACAAGCACCAGCTTTACCTTGTCTCTACAGGTCCACAAGCATCAGCTTTACCTTGTCTTTACAGCTCCACAAGCACCAGCTTTACCTTGTCTTTACAGCTCCACAAGCACCAGCTTAACCTTGTCTTTACAGCTACACAAGCACCAGCTTTACCTTGTCTTTACAGCTCCACAAGCACCAGCTTTACCTTGTCTTTACAGCTCCACAAGCACCAGCTTTACCTTGTCTTTACAGCTCCACAAGCACCAGCTTTACCTTACACAATAAGACAGTGCTGGCAACAATTAAGACGTCCGGGAGAGCATCTTGGCCAGCAACTTCAACTCAATTACTCATAAATGATGAATGTTGATGTATTTGGAGAGGAAAGAGGAGGAGGCGCTAATTACCTCATCTGAGACATTGCGGCGGAGCTGTGAGGTAGAGCTGCCGGCGCCCATTGTGAGGTAGTGAGGAGGGAGAGATGATGATGCGCGTGGCAGAAGAACAGCAGCGGCGGCGTCCGTCCTTCGTGGTGGTTGTCCAACAACTGACGCCGCCACGCTCTGCTCATTATTGCCACACTCTTCTCCTTACAATTACCAACTCCACCTCTCAAACAATATGCAATACTCCATCACAACTTATAAATAAAGGTAACACCATCCTCCTACAACACGTACGAATATATCACCTGAAAAACTACACTCTTTTTGTGCAAATATTTCCCGACATGTCCAAGTTGGAGAATAATTTAGGGAGACAAAGCAGGACACTGAGGTGCGGCAACACTGCTCCCAGTCCTCAACCTAATAAGCTTCCAGAAATATTTTTATATTTAAATTTCTCAACTGTTTAACATCAAATAATTTCCAGATTCTTTTGGCTCTGTATCTCTCAATTGTTTGCAGTTTTAACATTATTATTCTAACAATGCCCGAAACGCTATGCGTATTAGTAGCTTTAGGTATTTTATGTACTAGCTCTTATCTATAAATCCAACATTATGTTTGTAAATCAACTATGTATGTACTTTTCCCGAATAAAAAATTTAATTTAATTTAATTTTAATTTAATTCTTGTTTTCCTCTACTGAAGAAATAAGAGTCAACAAGCACCAGTATTTATAATGCAGCTTTCTTTAACTCCCGTGGACATTTACCACAGAAACTAATGTAGATGTAAACTGGTCACAGCCTGGCCCAGCACAGCCTAGCCCCACAGCACAGCGTAGCTGATCAACACAGCCTAAACTGGTCTGGAAGCATTGTTGTTAAAGTTCTTCAAATGTGCTAACCAAAGTCTACATAATGAGTTTCCTGCTGGCATCTTAGTGAAGTTGGTCATCAACTTGTATTGATGTTCCTCGCACTAAACACGGCCATAATCATTGATGTTTACTGAGTGACATATTCTCCATCTTGCTAGGAATACACTTCTTGTTCTTTATGATATGTGTAGTATGTGTGAAGGTTTTCTCCTCTCGAACACCTCAAGAGTGATAATGTTGGGTGACGAGGCACAATGGCCCGTGACGGCCGCTATTGTGGCTAGGCTTCAATGTTGCTGTGTAGAGTTACGCTTGAAGTTGTGTGGCCCTCAACGGAAGCCATTGTGGCCATGTTCCATGAGGGGGACCAGGCTCCAGGGGGATCCTCACCTCATACGAGCTATGAGGGGGACCAGGCTCCAGGGGGATTCTCACTTCATACGAGCCATGAGGGGGGGGACCTGGCTCCAGGGGGATCCTCACCTCATACGAGCTATGAGGGGGAGCAGGCTCCAGGGGGATCCTCACTTCATACGAGCCATGAGGAGAACCAGGATCTTGGGGATCCTCACCTCATACGAGCCATGAGGGGGACCAGGCTCCAAGGGGATCCTCACCTCATACGAGCCATGAGGGGGACCAGGCTCCAAGGGGATCCTCACCTCATACGAGCCATGAGGGGGACCAGGCTCCAGGGGGATCCTCACTTCATACGAGCCATGAGGAGAACCAGGATCTTGGGGATCCTCACCTCATACGAGCCATGAGGGGGACCAGGCTCCAAGGGGATCCTCACCTCATACGAGCCATGAGAGGGACCAGGCTTCAGGGAGGGATCCTCACCTCATACGAGAAATGAGGGGGACCAGGCTCCAGGGGGATCCTCATCTCATGCGAGCCATGAAGGGGACCAGGCTCCAGGGGGTATCCTCACCTCATACAAGTCATGAGGGGGACCAGGCTCCAGGGGGATCCTCACCTTATAAGAAGCCATTAGGGGGACTAGGCTCCAGGGGAGGATCCTCACCTCATACGAGCCACGAGGGGGACCAGGCTCCAGGGGGATCCTCACCTCATGCGAGCCACGAGGGGGACCAGGCTCCAGGGGGATCCTCACCTCATAAGGAGCCATGAGGGGGAACAGGCTCCAGGGGGGATCCTCACCTCATACCAGCCATAAGGGGGGACCAGACTCCAGGGGGATCCTCACCTCATGCGAGCCATGAGGGGACCAGGCTCCAGGGGGATCCTCACCTCATAAGGAGCCATGAGGGGGAACAGGCTCCAGGGGGGATCCTCACCTCATACCAGCCATAAGGGGGGGACCAGACTCCAGGGGGATCCTCACCTCATGCGAGCCATGAGGGGGACCAGGCTCCAGGGGGGATCCTCACCTCATACGAGCCACGAGGGGGACCAGGCTCCAGGGGGGATCCTCACCTCATACAAGTCATGAGGGGGACCAGGCTCCAGGGGATCCTCACCTCATACGAGTCACGAGGGGGACCAGGCTCCAGGGGGATCCTCACCTCGAGGATCCTCGTAGGGCCTCGTAGGGCCAGAGGGCCAAGTAGGGCCAGAGGGCCTCGTAGCCTGGTGGATAGCGCGCAGGACTCGTAATTCTGCGGCGCGGGTTCGATTCCCGCACGAGGCAGAAACAAATGGGCAAAGTTTCTTTCACCCTGAATGCCCCTGTTACCTAGCAGTAAAATAGGTACCTGGGTGTTAGTCAGCTGTCACGGGCTGCTTCCTGGAGGTGGAGGCCTGGTTGAGGACCGGGCCGCGGGGACACTAAAGCCCCGAAATCATCTCAAGATAACCTCATACAAGTCATGAGGGGGACCAGGCTCCAGGGGGATCCTCACCTCATACAAGTCATGAGGGGGACCAGGCTCCAGGGGGATCCTCACCTCATACGGGCCACGAGGGGGACCAGGCTCCAGGGGGATCCTCACCTCATGCGAGCCATGAGGGGGACCAGGCTCCAGGGGGTTCCTCACCTCATGCGAGCCATGAGGGGGACCAGGCTCCAGGGGGATCCTCACCTCATGCGAGCCATGAGGAGGACCAGGATCTTGGAGATCCTCACCTTATGCGAGCCATAAGGGGGGGACCAGGCTCCAGGACCAGGGGATCCTCACTTCATAAGCGCCATGAGGAGGACCAGGATCTGGTCCTCCTCATGGACCAGATCTTGGGGACCAGAACTTGGGGATCCTCTTTTTTTTCCCCAAAGTGTAGCATTTAAAGTTTTATTCTCCGGTTTTTGAAATTTCACAAATTAAAAATTATTACACAAAAGCCTAATCTAAGAAAACGTATTTTTGTGTTACAAATATTTGTATGGATGTAAACTATTAGCCATTCTCTATCACAAGGAGGGGTATATATATATATATATATATATATATATATATATATATATATATATATATATATATATATATATATATATATATATATATATATAAATGGACATTAACTTTATTATAATTTCCCCTGCCAAAATATATATCGGAAATTTGCCAACTTCTCATCAATTTAAATCTTCTAATTGTTTATTAACTTTATAATAATGCATGCTGGGTGGGGCTGGGTGGTCAAGATAATCAAGATCAAGATAACACACACCATCTCGGACCACAGCCACCATGTTCCTTGGTAGTGGAGAGAGTGGAGGTGTTGCCACACACACACCCCACCGTCTTGGACCACAGCCACCATGTACCTAGGTAGTGGAGGTGTTGCCATACACACACACACCATCTCGGACCACAGCCACCATGTTCCTAGGTAGTGGAGGTGTTGCCACACACACACAGCATCTCGGACCACAGCCACCATGTTCCTTGGTAGTGGAGAGAGTGGAGGTGTTGCCACACACACACACCCGCCCTCTTGGACCACAGCCACCATGTTCCTTGGTAGTGGAGAGAGTGGAGGTGTTGCCACACACACCCGCCCTCTTGGAACACAGCCACCATGCTCCTAGGTAGTGGAGAGATTGGAGGTCTTCATTTTTTCTTTATTAAATAACTAGCAGCACCCGCCACACGTTGCTGTGGCTCAGTCTGGGTAACTCGGAAAGAAAGAAAAGAGAAAGCGCACGTTTGTAATATGTTTAATTTTACAATGCTTGTGGGTATACAATATTTTTTGTTGTTCAATTGTCTGTGGAGATATAGAGATTGTCTGGTTTCCCGGCTTTAGAACACGCAAAATATAATTGGCCATGTGAAAAGCAATCCGTGTCTACATAAGAACATAAGAACAAAGGTAACTGCAGAAGGCCTATTGGCCCATACGAGGCAGCTCCTATTCTATAACCACCCAATCCCACTCATATACTTGTCCAACCCGTGCTTGAAACAATCGAGGGACCCCACCTCCACAATGTTACGCGGCAATTGGTTCCACAAATCAACAACCCTGTTACTGAACCAGTATTTACCCAAGTCTTTCCTAAATCTAAACTTATCCAATTTATACCCATTGTTACGTGTTCTGTCCTGTGTTGATACTTTTAATACCCTATTAATATCCCCCCGGCTATGTCCATTCATCCACTTGTAAACCTCTATCATGTCACCCCTAACTCTTCGCCTTTCCAGTGAATGCAACTTAAGCTTTGTTAATCTTTCTTCATATGAAAGATTTCTAATTTGGGGAATTAACTTAGTCATCCTACGCTGGACACGTTCAAGTGAATTTATATCCATTCTATAATATGGCGACCAAAACTGAACTGCATAATCTAAATGGGGCCTAACTAGAGCAAGATATAGCTTGAGAACCACACCAGGTGTCTTGTTACTGACGCTGCGATTAATAAATCCAAGTGTCCGATTTGCCTTATTACGAACATTTATGCATTGATCCTTTTGTTTTAAATTCTTACTAATCATAACTCCCAGATCCCTTTCGCAATCCGACTTCGCAATCACAACACCATCTAGCTCGTATCTTGTAACTCTATCATCATTACCTAACCTCAGAACTTTACATTTATCAGCATTAAACTGCATCTGCCAATCCTTTGACCATTTCAAAACCCTATCTAGATCAACTTGAAGTGATAGTGAGTCCTCCTCCGAATTAATTTCCCTACCGATTTTCGTATCATCGGCAAATTTGCAAATGTTGCTACTCAAACCTGAATCTAAATCATTTATATATATTATAAACAACAGAGGTCCCAGGACAGAGCCTTGAGGCACTCCACTTACAACATTTTCCCACTCTGACTTGATTCCATTTATACTAACTCTCTGTTTCCTTT